GCGGGCCAAGGCTTCCCGAAGGCGGTGCTGCAGCCAGAGGGGCCTTCTCAGAGGCCGCACGCCCGCAGCGGACTTAGCCCGCCCCGCCCCGACCAGAGTCCGCTCCAGACCCGGCCCTGGGCCCCACCCATCGAGTAGGGGATCGGCAACAAAATTCATTCAACCCAGACTTGATTTTCGTTCGCAAGCATCGTGTGGTGGCGGGTCCTCGTTTTGAAGAGACAACGCCCCGCGTCACTCCTCTCCTCCTCCTCCTCCTCCTCACGCCCTTCCTCCCTCCCTCACTCCATCATCCTCATCCCCATCCCCGTCCCCATCATCATCATCATCATCATCATCATCATCATCATCATCATCATCATCATCATCATCATCATCATCATTATCATCATCATCATCATCGTCATCATCATCGTCATCATCATCATAATAATCATCATCATAACCATCATTATCCTCATCCTCATCATCCTCATCATTTTTACCGTCATCATCACAACCACCATCATCACCATCATCACCATCATCCTCTTCAACATCATCATCTTCAACATCGTCATCGTCATCGCCACCATCGCCATCATCATCACCATCACCATCGTCAGCATGAACATCACCATCATCATCACCACCATCATTATCATCACCACCATCACCATCGCCATTACGATCATCCTCATCATTATCATCTTCATACTCATCATCATCATCATCATCATCATCATCACTACCATCACCATCATCATCACCATCATCATCGTCATCACCATCATCATCATCATCGTCATCCTCATCCTCCTCATCATCATCATCCTCATCCCCATCCTCATCACCATCATCATCATCACCATCATCATCATCATCATTCTCACCATCACCATCACCCACATCATAACAATAACCATCATCATCATCAGCATCATCATCAACAGTACCATCATCATCATCATCATCAACATCATCATAATCATCATCATCAACATCATCATCATCATCACCATCATCGCCGTCATCCTCCTAAAAATTGTCAGATTCTTCATGGTCATCTTCATCATGATTATCATCATCGCCGTCATCATCAACATCATCGTCATCCTCATCGCCATCATCATCACCATCATCGCCGTCAGCTTTGGCACGGGGGCGGAAAGCGGGTGTACTTCGTGAGGGAGCGCGATCGCTTGCTTAGGGTCTTGGGGCCCTGCGGGTGGTAAGACTTTGACACGACAAACAACAATCCAGCCAACAGACTTTGCGAAAATCAATGCATGTTGCATGTCTTGGCCTTCCTGGGGGTCTCTTTTGGGCAGTCTTGGGTCCCTCTTTGGACGTCCTTGGGCCCTTTTGGGCCGTCTTGGGGGGCTTGGGTTGTCGTGTGGCCCTCTTGGAGCCCTCTGGGGTCATCATGGGGACCTCTAAAGTCTCTCTTGGGGCTCTCTTGAGATCACTTTGGGAGCCTCAGGGGCTTCTCTTGGGCCGTCTTGGGGCTCTGATGGGCTGTCTTGGAGCTCACTGGGGCAGTCTTGGGGCCCCCTTGGGGGCCTCGTGGGCCGTCTTGGGGCGGTCCTGGGGGCCTTCTGGGCCGTCTTAGAAAATTTGCAAACAAATGACCAAATGTGCCATGCATGCACGTTTCTCCTAAGGAATGGGACGACTGTTACCTCTCGGGGGTCCTCTTGAGGGCCTCTTGGGGCGCCTGGAGGGCCGCTTTGGCCGTCTTGAGACCGTATAGGGCCGTCTCTGAGCGCTCTTGGGCCGTCTTGGGGTCCCGCTGGGCCTCCCTGAGGCCGTCTTGGAAAAGTCGTCAGCCGTCCTGGGAGCCTCTTGGGCCGTCTCGGGCGCTCTTGGGGCTGACCTGGGCTGCCTGGGGCCGAACGCCCTCAGATCATCCGATGCCACACAACCCAGCAGAGGTCCGCGCAGATCTCCTGGGTCGGCTCTGGGACCCCCTGGCGGCGCCTCTGGCGCCGCCCCTGGCCCGCCCCGCGCGCCAGGGAGGGGGCCAACGCCGATCCAAGAACTCCGCGCGGACCCCTGACAGTCTGCTCATTCGGGGATGGAGAGACCTCCCTTTAGTAAAACGTGGTTTAGTGAAAACGACCTGAGGCCCAAACCTGGCGGGCGCAAGCCTGGAAAATAACGGCCACGGCGCCCTCTCGAAAACCGAAAACGGACAATTCACTAATCGACGTGTCACTGTTGGGGGTTCTGTCCACCCCCGACTCATGCTTGCGCAGGGGACCGATGGCCATGGTGGAGACAGAGGGGACGTCGATCCCAGGGATGTGCGGCTCTGGTGGCGATGCGGTACGGCGAGGCCGCAGGCCGCGCCCGGCAGAGCGCCGGGGCATCTTCCGTTCTGGGAGGCTGTGCTTCGCGTGCGGGCATTCCAGGGGTGGGGTCGAGGGAGGTCACCAGAGGATCTCGAAAGCTGGGCGAGGGCTGCTAAAACCGTGGCTGCTAAAACGGCCTTCCCAGAAGGAAAAAACAACTTCCCGGAATGAGGCGCGGCACGCGAAACAGTCAACGGGCTCCTTCCCGGAAGGACGAAGACAACTTCCCGGAGGTCGATTTTAGCAGCCACGGATTTAGCAGCCCTTGCCTGGCTTCCGAGGATCGAGGAACGAGAAGCGTGAGCGTCGATCCCGAACGTCGTCTGCACCAGCCACCGTCCGTGTGCGGAGCATCCCCGCAGATCGGCCACGGCCGGCCAAGGCGACGGCCAAGATCGGCGCCGGCGATTCCCGCGGCATCTTGGCTGTGGTCGTCGTGCTGCTTCCCTCGAGCGGATCGATGGTCCTCATAACTGAGGCCCTTCTGTACGACGCAGGCGAGGCCGCTGGGGCACGCGGCTTGAGAGAGCAGACCCAAACATCCTGGCGCCTCGAAAAAATCGAGGCGGAGGTTTTTCACAGTGTTCGGCCTCTCGGGGCCCTCACCGGGCCTCGGGGCCGTCAAAAAACGACTCGGGGCGAGAAACGGGTCCCGGTCGAAAGGTCGGGGGCCCGTGTTGTCGCCAACATGCGTTTATCTACCGAAGCCCTTCTGCACGACGCAGGCGATGTCATGATCTGCGGGTGCGGCTGAGAAGGGTGAACACACTTTGGGCCGACAGACGTCCGGAGGATCATCGAGTGGAGGATCAAAACAACTGCATACACATAAATTTCCAGAGGTCCGCGCGGATCTCCGACAATTTTTGCCTATGCCGTTGTTTGTTCTTCGATCGAGCTCGTGCCGCTTGGTTTCTTCTTCGACTTCTGCACGCCGCCCGGGCCTGGGCGGTGGCGTAGAAGGAGCCCGGGCCAGGCTGTAACATCGCTCGGCAGGGCCGCGCGGGTCGAGGTGGCCGCGGGCGGGGCGGGGCCCAGGGCTCCCGGTGGCTCTCGAGGTCCTGGGCGGCTGCAAGTCGGACTCCAGCGATCTGTTTTTTCAATCGCGGCGTTTTTCCTTCAGGATCTGCTTCAGGGCCCTGGGGCCGTAAAACATAGATCCGAGGCGCAAAACTAGCCCTGGGGGCAAGGCCGGGATCTCTGGCGAAGGACTCAACCTTATACATTTGTGAGTGCCGCATTTGTGGGTGTCGTCTTCGGTGGGGCTCCTTTTGGGCCACGAAGCGCTGTGCTTGGTGGGGGCGACGCATGCGAACTTTGCCACTGGGGCCTTCGGTGGAGCTCCCTATTGGGCAAGAAACGCTGTACTGGGTGGGGGAGACGCATGTGAACTTTACCACTGGGGCCTTCGGTGGAGCTCCCTATGGACCAGGAAACGCTGTACTAAGTAGGAGAGACGCATGCGAACTTTGCCACTGGGGCCGTCGGTGGAGCTCTCTATGGGGACACGAAGCGCTGTGCTGGGTGGGGGAAACGCATGTGGACTTTGCCACTGTGGCCTTCGGCGGAGCCCCCTACGGGGCACCGACGCGTTGCGCTGTGTGGGGGAGACGCATGTGGACGGTGCCATTGAGGCCTTCGGTGGAGCTTCCTATGGGGCAACCAAGCACTGTACTGGGTGGGGGGGGCGCATGCGGACGGTTCCACTGGGGCCTTCGGTGGAGCTCCCTATGAGGCTACGAAGCGCTGTACTGGGTGGGGGAAACGCATGCGGAAAGTGTCACTGGAGCCTTCGGTGGAACTCCCTATGGAGCCACGAAGCGCTGTACTGGGTGGGGGAGACGCGTGCGGAAAGTGCCACTGGGGCCGTCGGTGGAGCTCTATATAGGGCCACGAAGCGCTGTCCCAGGTGGGGGAAATTCATGTGGAGGGTGCTATTGGCGCCAGGTGGAGCTTCCTATGGGGCCACGAAGCGCTGTACTGGAAGGGGGGACGCATGCGGGCGGTAGCGCTGGGACTTTAGGTGGAGCTACCTATGAGGCCACGAAGCACTGTACTGGGTGGGGGGGGCGCATGCGGGCGGTCGCACTGGGGTCCTCGGTGGAGCTCCCACCGTGTTGAGGGAATGGGGTGGCGGGTCGAAGGACGGACAAACCAAGAAATCAAGGTCGCCTTTTTACGTTGACCCTCACACTCGGTGGAGGATGGATCCGGTAGTTGATCAAATCTTGGGCGCATCAGGAATGCAACGATGCATTCCTGCCGCGACCCCCCGCAACCCGAACGCTGTCCTGGGTGGGGGGGTCGCACGCGGGCGGTAGCACTGGATCCTTCGGTGGAGCAGGTTATGGGGCCACGATACGCTGTACTCGGTGGGGGGGACGCATGCGGGCGGTACCACTGGGGCCGTCGGTGGAGCTCCCTATGGAGCAACAAAGCGCTGTACTGGGTGGGGGAGACGCATGCGAACTTTGCCACTGGGGCCGTCGGTGGAGCTCCCTATGGGGCCACGAAACGCTGTGCTCGGTGGGGGGGACGCATGCGGGCGGTAGCACTGGGGCTGTCGGTGGAGCTCCCTATGGAGCAACAAAGCGCTGTACTGGGAGGGGGGGGGGCGCATGCGGGCGGTACCACTGGGGCCGTCGGTGGAGCTCCATATGGGGCCACGAAGCGCTGTACTGGGTGGGGGGGGGGCCTGCGGGCGGTAGCACTGGGACCTTCGGTGGAGCTCCCTATAGGGTCACGAAGCGCAGTACTGGGTGGGGGGGGCGCATGCTGGCGGTAGCACGAGGACCTTCGGTGCAGCTCCCTATGGGGTCACGGAGCGTGTGAGGGGGGTGCCGAACTGGGTTTGGGGGACGCAAGCAGGCGGTGGTAGGAGGGACGAGCGGGATGAGGGAGAAATCAGAAGAGACGCTGGGACTGTCTCGTCAAACCGACGACCAACACCACAGGATGGTTGGGAACGAAACATATCGGAGGACGTCGGGGGAGGCGGAGGGGAGGGGAAAAAGAGCATACGCTCAAGCCTATAGGGAGAAGGGCTGGGCAAGGGCAAATCTGTGAAGACGCTATGAGTATGGGTGCGAGTTGTCGGAGCCCGGGAGGGGCCCCCTTCGAGCGGGGAAACCCATCCGACATTTCGCCACAACCATCCTGGGTGGGATTCTGGCCTCGAGATTAGCGATTTGGTTTGAATGACCTGTAGATTTGATGATTCGAAAGCTAGTTGAATGCTCGTGCGACGGGGGGAGGAAAGAGGTATGTCGTAAAGGAAGAACAACTGAACGTCTGTCACGCGGTGGCCTTACCTATCACCACCGCCTGGGGGATCGAGCTTCGAGGCCCTCGGCGGGCGATGGGTCTAGATAGATTTGCCTCCCCCACATGGGCACGAATCCATCCATATCCACCGCCTGCCGAGACGCCAAACACCAACATGCTGACAATGACAGGCAACATCGAATCGAAACGTTGAACCGAAATGGAAACCACATCAAACTGGTACAGTCGGGGCGTTGACCTAAGGAACGACACATAAGGAACGAAACCCCTATTTTTTCCAGGAACGCCAGGGGGGCTCGCCACCAAAAAAGGAGCGGAACGCATGCAAACCTAAGGAACGGCCGAGCCCCTTCCAAAAAGTAATTGGACCTTATTCAGCGCCCCGACTGCATGCATCGAATGGACACCGAATCGAATCGAAATCGGAATGCCCGGGCGCTGAATCGAAATCGCATGGGTTGCACATCGGCAGCCCCCACCGAAACGGCATCGACTCTAGCTGCCCCGATACGCAACACGCAACACGTAGCGTATTGATACGGAGCTCAGCACGTAGGCTGAAAACGTAGGTCCGACGCGATACACTCGCCACAACGTGGCCCTATACGTGGAGCCAACACGCAACGTATTGACACGGACGTCTTGAGCACGGGACGTTTTGCGTATCAAAACGGGCGTATCGAGGCAGCTGGCGGAGTGCCCCCCAGGAGCGCGGCGCGAGCGCCGCACCTGCGCGCCCCGCCTCCTGGTGTCGAAGGAGGGGAAGAAAGAGGAGAATAACGACGGCGGTGATGATGGTGGTGGTGATGGTGGTGATGATGATGGTGATGATGATGGTGACGATGGTGATGGTGGTGGTGGTGGTGATGGTGGTGGTGGTGGTGGTGATGATGATCATGGTGATGATGATGGTGACGATGCTGATGGTCAGGGTGAGAATGACGAACATAACGATGATGATGATGCTGCTGCTGCTGATGATGCTGCTGCTGCTGATGATGATGATGATGATGATGAAAATGATGGTAAGGATGATAATGCTGACGATGATGATGATGATGATGATGATGATGATGATGATGATGATGATGATGATGATGATGATGAGGGAGATTATGTTTTTTTTTTTTTTGTGGAAGTGTCCGGGAGCGCGCCGTCCGGACACTTCAGCTAGACAACCATTACCAGATGTTGCAAGGCTTTCGCGACAGGGCGGTGACGACGTGACTGGGCCCTCAGCCTTGCTTCGAAGGCATGGCTGTGGTGTGGGACAATGCATCACGCAAGCAACCACATAACAGACGGCGAATGGCACACATGGGGTGGAGGAGGGCGTGAAACCACGGACGCTCGGGAGCCTCATCAGGGAAAACCTCGGCCCATCCATCGGAGACGCAACTCACGTAATCCAGGACATGTTCGATAGTGGTGCATGCACTCGAAATTGATCATGTTACCTGCATCCGTGAAGCTCGGCAGACAACCAAGGCAGCAAGTCGGCTTCGAGAGGTCAGGATATGTGGCACTGATGCATGCGCCCCTGAAATTAGTACGCCGAACACTGAAGCCAAGATAAGGACTAGATAGCTTGAACCCATACCATATTTGTTCGATCGAATGATCCAACATGGAGCGGCCCATGTTCGGGATCCACTTCTGAAACTTCTGAAATACACCATCCAACGGGGGAGGACCAATAGGGGGCGCTTATGAAGAGCTGCATCAAGCTGAGACTGAAGCTTATTCAAAATGTCGGGCAGGGCCGGCGCAACCGAACATTGAGCAGATAAAGGAAGAGCGGTGCCAACTGGGACAATACCCAATGCGACACAAGGCTATACATCTCTCATCAGGCGCCATGACCTCCTAAATCTCTTTGGAAACCTGCTCCACATCTGGGCGATATGCAGCAAAACGAACTCCCGAAGCAGCAAAGAGACATGTAAGTTCTTTGGCCTCCGTACTCAAACCATCCAATGATCCGATTGTAGAAAAATGAATGCCGAGGGGCTGCCGTGATAAGCTATAATGTTTCCTTCTACTGCCGAAAGACATGTTCAGGAACCCGGCATAGTTGCAATGCGCATTGGATAAGCGAAGCACACACGTAAACTGAAACGTCGAAAGTGTCGCAGCTAGCCCAAGACCCATCTGACGGATCGCGCGGGACCGCGAAAATAACTTCTGCAGAAGGTCACACCAACCAGTGTCTTCAGCCTTCCAAGACATTTCGCAAATCGAACAAAGTCAACGTCGGCCAGCCCATTAAATGGTCAGGACACTGACTCGAAAAAAGATCGAGCTGTAGACTGCCGCGCACCAGCGCTTGACATTTTGTGAAACTCAAATAGAACCCACGCGCCGGGCCGATCTGAATCAACAACGACCCAACACGATGGAACGATATCAAGATGTACGAATGGCAAAGAGACAGCCGACGGCATGTGCAAGCAAACGCTCGATGTGGCAACCAAGACGGGATTGAAGCCATCGCAGGGCAGGGTCAAGCCCAAGACAGAGGAGACACATGCTGTTCGGACCCCCTTGCCTTGCTCCTCGCTGAATCGAGAACCCCCAAACCTCTGCCCACAAATCGCGACGAGTTCCCGGTTATCTCTCAAGTCGATGCACGATCAGACGGAACGCTAAATAAGGAACGAAACCCCTTCTTGGCCCCAGAAGCGCCAGGGTGCACGAGGAGCAATGGAGGAGGAGCCATGGAAGAGCTTGAGGAACGGCGAGCCCCTTCCGCACCCGAGGCGTTCCTTATTTCAGCGTCTTGGCTG